TGGTGGCCCCCTTTGTCCCACTGTTGGCCCCCTTTGTCCCCGTGGTGGCCCCATGTGTCCGTTGGTGGCCCCATGTGTCCGTGGGTGGCCCCAGCCCCCGCTCCGTGTCCTGCCAGTGATTCCCAGCTCCCCTCCCTCCTGCAGATCCTGGACGAGGTGGAGAAGCGACGCCAGATCTCCATGGCTGTGATCTACCCCTTCATGCAGGGCCTGCGGGAATCGCCCTTCCCGGCTCCCGGGAAATCCGTCACCATCAGGAGCTTCATCCCCGAGTCGGGCACTGAGGTGGGGTCGAGGCCCCTCATGGGCATGGGGAGCCCGGGACATGCCAGGGAACAGGATATTTCAGGGAGACTGGGACATGCCAGGGAACGGGGGAGGAATGTGTTGAGCTCTTGGAGGCCTCATCCCATGGGAATGTGGGTGTCACCTCCCTCCTGATCCTGTGAGGATGAGGATGGAGCCCATCCACCACCCCCCAGCCCGGAGCTGGAGCTACCACCTCAAAACTCCCTGATCATAGCCCAGGACTGGCACAGCCCTGAGGGAGAGGCTGTGCTGGGGGTTCCTGGGGGGCCCAGAGGTGCCAAGTCTCCTCCCTGACAGGGTGGCCAGGCCCTGGCACAGCTGTCAGGAGTCCCCATCCCTGGAATTGCTCATCCAGCCCAGGGATGTGGCACTTGGGGACGTGGTCGATGTGAATTGGGGTAACTGGGCTCTATGCTCTTAGAGGGCTTTTCCAACCTTAATAATTCCACGATTCCACAATTCCACTCCCCTCCAGAGGTCTGTGCCCAGCTCCCAGCCCTGATCCCTGCCCTGATCCCTGCCTGTAGGGATAAAGCAGCATTCCCAGCTTTTCCCTGTGGAGAGACCCGATCCAGGATTGTCCCACCCCCACCCAGCCCAGGCACGGGCACAACCTTTAATTTGCTTTTCCTTTCTCCTGTGGCAAAGCTGGGCTGGAAAAATGGGAAAGGTCTCAGTGCTGGGCATCCCAGGGCTGTGTCCTGCCAGGGAGGAGCCGAGGGAAGGCAGTTGGAGCAGCTGGAAAGCCAAGCCATGGATTTCTTCATCCAGGAAGGCTCTTGTGAAAGGGTTTCTCAATGCCCTGGCCTGGGCCCAGGCTGCCCCAAGAGCCACAGGGGGAGGAGGGAGGAGGAACGAGGGTGTTCTTCGAAAGAGCTGCATCTGGGGCTCCAGGAAGGGGCTGGAGCAAGGCCAGGAGATCGGGGAGACAACAGGGAAAAGGGGGAAGATAAACTCTGGGAGCTGCCTGGGCTGGAGCCGGGGCTGGTGCAGGGGCTGTGCCGGGAAGGGGCTGTGCAGAACTGGCTGGAGCTCTGGCACCAGCTGGGAAGATGCTCCATGAGGTTGGAGAAGGGGGATTTCCCCCCCCCCGAGGGTGAGGAGAGGGTCCTGTTAACCCTCCAGTGCCCAGGAGAGGGTCCTGTTAACCCTCCAGTGCCCCCCATCTCCTGCCTCCAACGGGACCAGCGGGTGTGGGAGACCTTTGGCAGGGGCAGGGGCAGCTGAGGGGGCAGAGTAGCTGCAAGGATCCATCAGATCCCTCCCTTCTGGGCCATCCTGGCTGGGAATTCCCAGCCCAGAGAGGGTGTAGAGGAAGGTGTTGTGGTAGCAAAAGTCATGGCCTCAGCCCTCCCCCCTTCCCTCCCCCCTTCCCAGGAAGCTGCTGCTCCCAGATGAGCTGAGGGGCACTGAGATAGGGCCTGTGTCCTACCAAGCATTCGGGTTAAAAATCCCAAATAAACAACCCCATAGAGCACATCCACGTGGCCTCCCCTGCACCCCCAGCACAGCCCAACCGTCCCAGTGGGATGAGCCCGGATTTGTCCCTCTCACAGGGACACGGGGCAGAAGCTGCAAACCCGGGGCATCAGCTGCTCCCAGATCACCTCCTGGGGGGCCAGGGCAGTGCAGGGAGATGTCACCCCCCGTAAGCTGGGCTTTGTGGCTCTCCCCTGGCAGCTCATCGAGCTCACCCGGCCCGTGGATGCCCGCCTGGAGCACGTGGAATTCCAGGCTCTGCTCCAGCGGCTCAGCCCCGACCTCATCCTGCACATCTTTGCCTCGGCCGTGCTGGAGCGGAGGCTCATCTTCCTGGCAGAGGAGCTCAGGTGAGCCCGGAGCATTTTGGGATTAAAAAACCCCCCCAAAACCCCTGGAAGGAGCTCAGGGTGGGACATTCCTCCTGAGCAGTGACATCACTTTTCCTCCCTGGGAGAGCCCAGCTGGTCAGAGCCTGTGCCAGCCATGCCCAGGGGGTGGGTTTGATCCCTGGGTGGGCCTTTCATCCGGAGTAGGACCTGCTCATCCTTGTGGGGCTCTTCCAACCTGGAATATTCTGTGTCCCTGCTATCTCGTGATCCCCCCCTGTGGCTCCCTGTCCCCAGTGTCCTGTCCCAGTGTATCCACGCCGTGGCTGCTCTGCTGTACCCCTTCACCTGGGCACACACCTACATCCCTGTGGTCCCCGAGTGCCTCCTGGACACCGTCTGCTGCCCCACGCCCTTCATGGTGGGCATCCAGCTGCGGCACCTGGAGCGGGTCCTGGAGCAGCCCATGGAGGAGGTACCTCACCCCTGGGAGGGGACAGTCCGTGACCCTGGGCTGGGTTGGCCCCGGGGCTGGAGGCTCTGGCCGTGCCCTTTTCCCAGCCAGGGAGGCTGGAAATGGGGAAATGGGACTTGGGAAATGGGGGTGTCCTCCTTGTCCCCTCCTGTCGGTGCCAGGGGCGATCCCCCCCGCCCCCCAGGCAGCAGCCCCCGGGCTCAGGGAGCTGCCCTGGGATCATCCTGAGCTGGAGGAAGCAGAGAAGGGGATGAGGCACCAAAGCTGCACCAAACCCCTGCCCTGGGGGGCTGCCCCTGCCCCCCTGTCCGGGGCTCTCGGGCACAGAGTGGCTGATCCTTCTCCTGCCACCCGCCCCGCACACACACCAGGTTCATCCCAAAGCAGGGGGAGGACGTTGGATGCCCTGGGAGGGCTGAACCTGTTCCCCTCCTGCTCTCTTGCAGGCCCTGATGGTGGATCTGTGCCAAGGGAAGATCATCCGGGCGGTAGGTCCCCCCTGGGGGGGCTGGGAAGGGCCTTTTCCCCCTGGGTGTTGGATACCTGGCAGCTTCCACCTTTTAACATGGATTCTCACTGCCAGAGGGCAGGGATAGACGGGATATGGGGAGGGAATTCTCCCCTGGGAGGGTGGGGAGGGGCTGGGATGGAATTCCCAGAGAAGCTGTGGCTGCCCCACCCCTGGGAGTGTCCAAGGCCAGGCTGGAGCCACCTGGGATGGTGGGAGGTGTCCCTGCCCAGGGCAGGGGTGGGACTGGATGGGATTTAAGGTCCCTTCCCACCCAAACCCTCCTGGGATTCCGTGGTTCTGTGATTTTGGAGGCAGAGCCCCCTCAGTGTCCCCCCCAGGGAATGTCCCATGAGGGGACATCTCCAGACACTGCTGGTTGTGAGCTGGAGCAGGAGGGTCCATCCCAGCCCCAGCATCACCATAGCACCTTGCAATGACAATTAATTAATGAATTAATAACCTAATGAGCTTCTAAAGCCCCACTGGATGGGCTGTGCCAACCCCCAGCCACCCGGATCCCAGCAGTGCCGGGTGCTCCATGGCTCCCTGTCCTTCCAGGTGGGGGATGAGGAGCAGATCCTGCCCGTGAAGCTGCAGAACGAGATGCTGACGGCCCTGACCAAGCACAACTACAACAACAACGTGCTCAGTAAGGATGGGTCTTTATTCCCACTAAACACAGGCTGGAGCTGCCCCGGGGCCCTCGGCCAAGGGACGCTCCTGAAGGGACCTGGACCGGGATGCTCCTGCCCCTCTTTGCAACCAAATGCAGCCACAGGAGGGAAATCCCTTGGCTTTTCCTCTGTCTGCTGAAACCTGTGAGCAGGAACAGCGAATTCTGCTGGAAAAATGAAGCTTGGCCAATGTAAAGGGTTTGGAAAGGAACAACAGCCAGGGCTCCCTCAGCAAAGTGGGTCTGGGGTTTGGTCACTGGCACAGGGGCTTGGAGCGAGTGATTCCTTGGGGTGCAAACACAGAGCAGGGTAAAATATCATCCAATTATATATTATTGAGCCATTAGAGAGTGTCCAAAGGAGGCAATGAGGAGGGGGAAGGGCCTCAAGGGGCTGAGGGCACTTGGTGTGTTGAGCTGGAGCAGAGGAGACTGAGGGGAGACCTCACTGCGGTTCCAATTCCTGGGCAGGGGCAGAGGGGCAGGGACTGAGCTCTGCTCTGGGGGACCAGGGACAGCAGCCAGGGAATGGCTGGAGCTGTGTCAGGGCAGGCTCAGGTTGGATCTCAGCAAAAGGTTCTTCCCCCAGAGGCTGGTTGGGCACTGCCCAGGCTCCCCAGGGCAGTGGGCACAGCCC